TGTCCCCACATGGATAGGGGGGGAGACTGTCCCCGAATTAGTATAGGAGACTGTCTCCTATATAAACGCCCCATTATGATAACACCTTCCTCTGACCTCTGTATATTCTTTAGCTACCTTTTGTCTTTGTTGTAATTTCTAGTGCAAGCAAGTGCGAGCGAGCAAACAACTAGACTCAGGACAGAATAATTAGAAAATGATGAAGAGGATGAGGACCATAGGCTGCATTCTGGCGGCAGCCACCGCAACGGGAGGAAATGCGACCCCCGCTCTGCTGCCGTCAAATCTGTTGGAGGACACCGGATCGACGGTGAGCACCGCATCGAGTACAATGTCGAGTACGGTTAGCACAGAGTCGACGACGGCAGCGCCGACCTCACCGCCATCTGTGATGTCTGGTGACGATTACATGGCGCAGCTACCGTTTTCAGTAGAGGTGGTGACGCCCAAGTTTTCTTTGATCGGGACGGAAGGCGGGTATGCAGCGGAATATTGTGCAGGAGATGCGATGGCTGTAATAATGAAGGTATTAAAGATGGATGAGGATGCGTTGAGTGGTCTGCTGGGTGCTCAGGCTGATCTGAAATCGTACACACGTTCGGGTGCAACTTTGCGTGATGCATTGACGTTTGTCGGCGACTATGTGGACCGGTTGCACAAAGGAAAGAACCTGACGCCTGATGGTGAGCAGCGACGAGTGAAGATGTTCGGGCTACCATACCTCATGCCGGCGGACAGTTTATTACCTTCGGAGCAGATCCGAAACCTTCTGGGAGCCCACACACTGATGGTTCAAGGTGGTCGGAAGTATGGTGAGCTTTTCAAGCTTCACTCTCAGCTGCCTAAGCACCGGAAGTATGAGCTAATAGACACGCTTATCAATCACTCTAAAGAAAAGGCAGTCGAAGCACAGGAACACACGCTCATGGCAAAAATTCGGAATGTGGTCGGCGACGCGGCCGATCGCCTTTCAGAGTTCATGGGTCTAGACGGTGACGACGAAGCAACTACGACGGAAGGTAATACCTCGGTGGTTGGTTTTGGAGACTCCGACTTGAAGAGCGGCATCGAGCCGTATGCCATGGACGTGTTATCAATCATACCAGATCAGTTAGTGGCATTCCTTTCGTCTCGAGCCGTAGGCGAATTGTTGGGGGTGATATTGCAAGATAGTCATACTGGGGGGGTGTCAGCAGGCGGCAAACAGAACTTGGGTACAGCGATATGTAGAGGCATAGAATTCGGGATGACTTTGGATCCTTTTCCGGAATGGACGGCGTGTGCATTACCTTCAGCCATGTTAGCGTTGGTCGTCTGCATGTACAAAGACTTTACCCTGGACTGCACCAACTACACGGTTGGTGACCCGATGTTGGATGTGTGTGATAAAGTGGAGCAGAAGGAAATAATGGAATTGACCCCTTTTCTGCCGATGGAAGATGCGTTGGATCTAGATGCAATGACATACACTAACTCGGGATTGGCTGCGGAAGGGGAGACGTTGTTGAAGCTGCAGATCGCGTTGGCGAGACAGGGTCTGGCGGCCTTCCATCACCAGTGTACCATCCCTGTGGATGACCCGTATTTGGTCAAGGACATGGCCCCTGGTTGGGACTTCGTGCACGAAGTATGGCTGAATGAAGAATCGTCCACACTCACGGCAGGCACACCGAACAAGTACGTGCCCTTCACGACTATCGGGATGAAAAAGAAGACAGGCCAAGCAGGTCAGGCGAACGATGGGACTTGCGAGTTCTTGACTAGCACTCGTGGAACGAACGGAATTTTCGAATGGTGGGCGAATGTGCAAATGGACATGATTCCGATACCCTATTCCCTAGACGCAAAGGCGAAGGCCCATCGAGGTTACACAGTCCTCTCCAGCTCCGTGGCGGACTCGCTGGTACGTTACTGGAACAAGAACCACTTCGAGCTTGACGACCACAACGACCCTAACTGGTGCGACCCTGCGAAGACCACACTCTGGTTCACGGGACACTCGCTCGGGGGCGGCATGAGCAACATGCAGTCGTTGGCCACCGCACTTCGGCTGAAGCCGAGCTATCCCGATCTAACTATCTTCAACTACGCCGCAGCGAGTCTAGCTGTTTACAACAAGGAAGCGCTGGACATGCACAACTCACTAATCAACGCACGGAATTTCCGGTACGACAGAGACATGGTACCCGGTGTACCTTGCCAGAACACGGGCATCCAGCGCTGCAGTCCCGCCGAGTATCCATCTGGGTTCCAGGGGACAGGCGTCGAAGAACCGGTTCAGTACAATCCGGGCCAAGTCATGCTGCGAAGTAAAGAAGACTTCGCCGATTTCGACCCCGAACATCAGTGGTGGTTCAATGATGACTGGTTCTTGCCGCAACGATTGGCGCTGGCCGTCGTACCCATCCTCATGCCAGGCATGCTTCAACTCAACATGTCCCACAGCTGCAGCTATCGGTGCTTCCTCACATCTCGCTTCTGTTCGGACTCACCTTACAAACACACAATGTGCTACAGAGGACCTCTCGCACTCGACGACAGCGCCTGCTGGAATGAAGACGTCTCCAACTACGTCAAGGCACCCGGCGTAGGAGGCGGGGATCCACCTGCCATCAACCGTCAAGATGAAGCTTACCCCGGCTATGTAGCATCCATGAACTGCACCTATAACGCAGAAGCCGCCAAGTACATCTCTACTTGCGATTGGACTGCCGGAATCAGCCTGGATCTCAGCAGCATCCTCGGTTAGGGATAACATCACCCGTGTGATACAATCACCCGTGTGATACAATCACCCGTGTGATACACCACCCGTGTTGATCCCACACTAGGCCTATACCGCTTGGAGCAATATCGCTTGGAGCAATTACCGCCCTTATTTGAACATAGTCTTTTGTTCGACTTGGCAGGACTGATCACACTTGAAGCGAGGACAGTGTCTCGTCGTTCCGCGTTGATCTCACAAATCTGCGCGCAGGTCAGGCGGCTGCGAGACAAGCACAGCGCAAACGCAACCGCAGTGCGCGTTTTTGGTTCTGTTCTTACTTTTGTGACAACTAGATTTGCTAGTCCGAATGAGGTACCATCGAATGTGTGGTACCGTCGAATGTGTGGTACCATCGAATGTGTGTGAATTTGTGAATTATTAATATTTTTGTAGTAGCGTGATGAGGTTGGCGGTGGTTGGATGCTTGATGGGGTGTGTGTTGGGTCAGGATAGTGTGATCAATGAGTACATAAGTTCCATGCCGTTTCCGGTGGATATTGTGACCCCCAAGTACTCGTTCATTGGTTACGAAAAGTACGCCGCGTCGTATTGTGATATCGAGACCATGGAGTTGCTGAGCAACATCGTTTTGATCAATGACGGCGTACCTGCGATGGACCCGGCTGCTGCCAAGGCCGAGAAGGCGTCTCAGATGGACGCCTTCTTGGCTGCAGTTCCTCATTACCGAAAATTTCATGAGTCCGGTGCTTCCTTCCGGCAGGCCCTGGACTTCACACAGAGGCTTTTAAGACACACTGACGCACTTAACCAAGAAGCAACAATGCTCCGAAGAACCAACAGCTCAAACGATAATGACTCAAGCATCAAGGGTGATAGCGCTCAGACGACGGCGAGTCGTCGAATGAGCATGAACTATGTGCCAGTGCTCCTTCCAGAAGACGTCTACTCGCCAGAGGAGAAGTTACGCGCACTTATCGCAACGCACTTCTCGGTACAAGCCGGTGGTCAGAAGCTCGGCACGCTCGTGAAGCTGCACAGCGAAATGCCTGAGGGACACGAAAACGATGTCGTGATGGCCGCTATACACAGGCTACGTTCCCGCAAGACAGGGGGGAATAGTGAGCAGCAGAATAGTGAGCAGCAGAATAGTGAGCAGCAGAATAGTGAGCAGCAGCGTGAGCAGCAGAATAGTGAGCAGGAGCGTGAGCAGCAGCGTGAGCAGCAGCGTGAGCAGACGGCGATGGAGTCCATTGCGGGGTACCTACGGGAGCTTTGGAAGAGTTCCAAGCAGGGCCTTAATCAAGAGAAGGCCTTGGATGAGTTGTTTAATAAATTAGTTGAAGACGACAGGAAGGGAGTGGAGAAAAAGGGAGAAGCCATGGACGGTGACCAGAATCCGTGGGGCTTACCTGAAGGAACGCTGTCATTTTTTATGAGCAATGCCTTTGGTGAGATGTTCTCGGCGCTCTTTCAAGATGTGGGTGAGTGGATCGACGGTCTAAACGGTTATTGGTGGACAGACGGCGGTAAGGTGGGTCTGGCCGAGGGTCTGTGTCGAGGTATCCAAGCCGGTCTACAAGTGGACGGAGGCATGAGTCCGTGGACTTCATGTGCCTTGCCATCAGCCTTCTTTGCGTATATTGTGTGTGGCAACACACAGTTGCAGATTGACTGTACGAACTACAAGTTTGCGGATCCGTCATTAGACTTGTGCGATATGTTCGAGGCTCAGGAGGTGTACGACTTGTCGTTGATTCCTATGGAGGAGGGGGTTGATGCCACGGTGAACCACTTCAGCGACGCGGGTTACGAGAAAGATGGCCGGTCGATGTGGCTGATGCAATCGAGTATTGCAAAGCAGGCCATGAGTACGACACAGCGTCAGTGCATGATCGCAGCGGACGACCCGGACTTTTTATTGGATCTCTTGCCAGGTTGGGACATTGTGCATGAGACGTGGTTGAACGAGGAGACAAGTTACATGACGCAGTTCACAACGAACAAATACGTGCCTTACAGCACGATTGCGAAGAAGAGGACGACGGCAACCGACGGCACCTGCGAGTTCATGATGATTTCTCGTGGCACCATCAACGGATGGGAATGGTGGGTCGACTTCAAGTTCGAGATGAAGCCAATTCCGTACTCCACTGATCCCGAGGCGCTGGCACATAGTGGGTACCTTAATCTCGCAACCCCCATTGTTGAGGCCAACAGCAACTACATGATGCGACACCACTTCGACGTGCCCGCAGACACCGTGGCCGGAGAAGACTTATATAACCAGTACAGCTACTGCGACCCAAATAAGACGAGCATTTGGTTCGTAGGACATTCACTAGGTGGCGGGATGAGCAACCTACAGTCGCTCATTTGGGGGCTGCGTTGGAAAACGGCGTTTCCGCAGATGCAGCTGTACAATTTTGCCGCCGCCAGCTTCGCTATTTACAACGAAAACACGCGTGCGATGCATTCGAAGCTGGTAAATAGTCGGAACGTTCGTTACGAACGAGACTTCGTGCCCGGGATTATGTGCCAGAACACGGGCGCTACACGTTGCGCTCCGAACCCTTTCGCTTCAGGGCTTCACGGTGCTGGACTTGAGCAACCGACGTCGCTCCTGTCCGGGGCGGTCATCCTGCGCAGCAAGGAAGACTTCGTCGACTATGACCCTGATAATCAATGGTGGTTCGGCGACGACCACTTCTTCATGGTCCCCGGCCTCCTTCAGATGACCACAATCCTCTCCTTCATTAACATGCCCATGATACTACAGCCTGCCGCCTGCCACCTGTGCAGCTACCGATGCTACTTCTCCTCCCACTTCTGCACCAAGGACGTCACCAACCAGACCGAGTGCTTCCGTGGACCGGTCAACTACGACAATGAAGCGAATTGCGTCAATCAACAACTCACCATACCCGACGTCAAGTCCAAGAACGACGGACCCAACTACCTTGGCAGCCTCAACTGTACCTTCAACGAGCAGGCCTTTGCTGTTAAGCAGCCCTGTTGGTACCTCTCGCCCGGCATAAGACTCAATGCCGTTCAAGACCTTATTAACTGAGTCCATACCGAACTTGAAAGGTGGCTGCGGCCATTTAAGCAACTACTGATGTACTGACTGGACTGGACTGGACTGGACTGGGATTGTTGGATTGAAGTAGCACAACTAGTCATCGGTTGCAAGGGCCTCATTACTGCAGTAATGAGGCCCTTGCAACCGATGACTGCGACCATTTAAGCGCTTAATACAACGTGCTGGATGTTTTGAGAATATAGTGCTTGGTACAATGAGAGGTTGAGTTCGGTCGGGTGTGTGCCGAATTCGCGATTTTTTTCTTGGTGGTTTGAATGATCATAATTGTGGCGGTGCAGTCATGAGTCGGGGTCGGGTAGTGTGGAGCAGGACCGCGAGGCCGTGGAGAGAGATGAGGGCGGCGGCGACGGAGACGTAGAGCGCCAGGCCGCGTTGTGTCGTCAAGTCCACGCCGGGGTAGATGGGTCGTCGACCGCGGCTGAAGAAGGCGGCCACGTGGATGCCGGTGTAAAGAGCGACGAAGGCCCACAGCCACGGCTGCGTCGTCCATCGCCAACTCTTCGCAGACCTGACGTCAGACTCGACTGTACAGCCTTTGACTGTACAGCCTTTGACTGTACAACCTTTGACTGTACAGCGTTCATAGAGAAGAAGTAGCAACCCGACCCCGTGCATGTTCACTTCCCACCAGAAACAGCGCAACGCCGACTCTTGTGGCCATACTAGGCCCCAGAACATGACCACTACAATCACAGACACACACTGTGCTATTTCGCCGATCATTTCCCACCAATTTTCAACACCATCGGGCTGGCCAGCGGATCGGGTACCGCACGACCGTTCCAAGCAATCCGCAGCAACTTTGTGGGCATTTTCCTTCATGACATTTTCCTTCATGGCATTTTCCTTCATGGCATTTTCCATCTCCATATTATCTGTAATGCTTGTTCGATTCCTTCCATGTTCCATACTACCAACAACGTTATCCAGACCTCTTATGGACCATCCCCGACCCTTTCTTGTCGCCAGGTAAAATGAGAAGCCAAAATACGCCTTGACAAATATCCAAGCCCAAGCAGTTAAATACTGGAAGTAGCAATACCATGGATGGCAGTCAAAGAGGAATATAATTGAAACTATCCATAGATAAACATTTATTATCAGCAACCTGATTTTGCCTTGCATTGATTCCAATGTTTTCCACTCCGGCATTACACGAATTTCAACAACGAATTTTATCATCACCAAGACTTTCGAACTTATTTTGGATATCCGGTACCTTTACAATATAACCGGTGCCTTGCAATATAACCACAGTGTGATGCGTAGAATCGCGAGGAATAAACATGTGAAAGAAAGGGACCTCTTTCGATAATTGTTTGGTCAAGGTGTTTCAGACAACAGCTGAAACATATTCGTCCTGTTTGGTCTGGTCATTAACGGTGGTCTGGTCATTAACGGTGGTCTGGTCATTGGCGATCCTGTTTGGACAATCCCGCGATCTATTTACGGGGTCGTGACATTTCGACACCTCCAAAAAAAAGAAATCTTTCCTTGCCACGTCCTCCAACCCACCAACCCACGTTGACTGAGCGACACTCAGCGCGACAGTACCGCACACATGTCGCTAGTGAGCCACAGTCGTCACACACAAATTGGTGCGTGACTGACGACAAGCAGATTCTACACCGTTTACCGGACACTTGCCCCCGACACATAAAAGGGGCAGGCGACCAAGTCGACGTCCAGTTCATTGGACCACTGTTGGTCTCAGCGGGGCGTCCAGAGCCGTGGCCTGGGACTCGTCTATGGCTTCATCGTCTTCCTCTTCGTCGTCTTCGTCTTCCTCTGCCTCGTTCCCGGTCTCCTCATCCTCTTCTTCGGAGTAGGCGAGGAGGGTGGCGAGTTCTCCGCGAATGAGGGCCGGTGCGTAAACCGACACGAGAAGGGAAGGCACGAGGTAGAGGAGTGCCGGTTGGGCCGACTGCCAGATGAGCATGACGGCACCAGTCAGGCACAGAGAGCTGGTGTAGGCGAACATGGATGCTCTGAAGTAAAACCGACTGAATTCTTGGTACATCGGACTAACCGCTTGACGTGGTTCGTGTCCAACAGTACCGGCATGTGTAGTGGTACCGGCATGGATAGTGGTACCGGCATGGGTAGTGGTACCAGCATGGGTAGTGGTACCGGCATGGGTAGTGGTGCCGGTGCGGTCTGGGCAGGCTGCAGTCGTGGTTTTGGATCCGGTTTTTCGAGTTCTGGCCTTGACGGTGGTTTCATGGTCTTCGGTGGTGGCTGTAGACTCGGCGGTCGTTTCCGGCTTCCGATAACACACGTCGCCACGGCACTCCATCCCTTCCGCTTTGACATCTTGGTTGGTTATCATGAGTTGGTTTCGGGCCCAGTCGAACCGGAGAGTCATGGCGATGAAGATGCCGGGGATGACAATGTCACCGAGTCCCAACAAGCTCATGTGAGCGTTTCCGGGTTGCGGGAAAAGGAGCTTGGCGGGTGCTTCGAAGCTCTTCGCGACGGTGACCATGACGTCGGTTTTGAAGACCCAGAAGACGTCATAGAAGAAGAGTCCGGTAAGCAGAATTGTAGCCGTTCTGAAGGTACCCACCGAGATCAGGCGGATAGCGTGAATGGAGAAACATATAGCAAACAGATTGTGCATCAACCACATCTTCGAAAACAACCAAGTGAAAGAGATCACACTGCCACAGAGGAAACCAATCATCTTCGACACAGATAATTCAATCACCACACGCTCCCCCAACAACCAAGTCAAAACACGAGGAACCAGGAACACTCGCATCTCCTCAGGAGCCCTAGTAGAAGGGTATACTAAAACCCATAAATCTGACACCGTGGAACCAATAGAGTAAATCCCAGCTATACACACGTGTAATGACAACAGCCAGTTTACCCAACGACCAGGGAGGTACTTGAACGCACAATATCTACAACATTGACCCTCATAACTTAACCACGCTTTTTCTAAGGCAGGGATGGGTTACAGTACCAGTGGAGTTGGAGGTTGCTTAGGGAGGGTGCTTAGGGTGCATCGCCGAGTACTCGTGTACCGAGTATTCGTGCAGGAGGGGAGGGAGGGGAGGGGAGGGGAGGGGA